TACACCATGATCAAGTAGGCTTCATCCCTGGGGTAAAGGGATGGTTCAATATATGAAAATCTATTAATGTAACCCATCATATAAATAAAGAGAAAAAAAAACCCTACATGATCATCTCATTAGATGCTGAAAAAGCCTTTGATGAAATCCAACACCCCTTCATAATAAATCTTGGATAGATCAGGGATACAAGGCATATACCTACACATAATCAAGGTAATATACAGGAAGCCTATAGCCAACATCAAATTAAGTGTAAAGAAACTTAAAGCAATTCCACTAAAATCAGGGACAAGATAAGGGTTTCCACTCTCCATATCTATCTAACCTGTATAGTATTTGAAACTTTATCTAGAGCAATGAGGTCAAGGGATACAAATTGGAAAGGAAGAAATCAAAGTATTGCTACACACAGATGGTACATTGTATACAGCACTGACCCCAAAAGTTCTACTGGGAAACTCCTCAATACCTTCAGTGAAGTGGCTGGATACAAAACTAACTAAAAAAAAAAAAAATCAGTAGTCTTCCTATATACAAACAATAAACAGAATGAGAAAGAAATTAGGGAAAGAACACCTTTCAAAATAGCCACAAATAATTTAAACTATCTTGGTTTAACCCTAATCAAGCAAGTGAAAGAAAATATGACAAGACCTTAAAGTCTTTGAAGAAATAAACTGAAGTATCAGAAGAGAGAATGATCTCCCATGTTCAGGGATCTGTAGGATTAACATGGTAAAAATGGCCATCTTACTTAAGCAGACTACAGATTCAATGCAATTACCATTAAAATACCAACACAATTTTTTACTTAACACTACTTCATATGGAAAAACAAAAAAACCCTGGGTATCTAAAATAATCTTGTACAATAAAAGAACTGGAAGCATTACCACCCCTGATTTCAAGTTGTACTACAAAGCAGTAGCAACAAAAACTGCATGGTACAACAACAAAAACAGGTTGATCAATGGAATTGAATCGAAGACCCGGAAGTAAAGCCGCACACCTATGGACACTTGACTTTTGACAAAGAAGTCAAAATTATACAGTGTAAAAAAAGAAAGCATCTTCAATTAATGTTGGTGGTTTAACTAGATATGTGCAGTCTTCTGCACATGGAAGACTGTAAATTGTTAAGAGCGAGGTTTTACATCCATGGGGTCCAAGGGTGGTTGAGGCGGGATGGGGCATTGGCAGTAAAGGATAAAGGTCCACAGGCTTTGCTTTAGGCCTGTTGGGGCTAGTACCTGACTCCTCCTAGCATTTTTCTCTGTACTTCAACTCTCAGCCGATTTGCGGCCACTGCTCCCGGCAAGAAACTGAACTTTCTTAACTGTTAGGACTTTAACTCTTAAACTTTCAGGCTGATAGCCTTGCTATTTGGGGCTCCTGGTTGCAGTGAGAAGAAAGAAAATAGCATACATTCACACGAACATAGGGAGCTCCAACAGACCATTCTTTTTTTTTTTTTTTTTTTTAACAATATATGAGTAAATCTTTATTAACTTGAAGTTGGGAATAGATGTGTCAAAAAGCAAAAGGAAAGAAAAATATGTTCATTGAGTTTCAAAAATCTTTTTTTTTTTTTTTTTGTTTTCTTTTTTTGGGGCCATGTTATACTTTATTTTAAAAAAGCAGTACACGCATCTCCCAGAAGCTCTATCAGTTTTTTTTTTTTTTCTTTTTAGTTACATTTTGTTAACTCTGTGTCCCAGCTGTATCCCGCTCTCTCATTCCCTCCCCAACCCTACACTCCCTCCCTGGTCTCCTCCCTGCCCCTTTCCAAGTCCACATAAAGACAGACAATCAGGCAGACAGACACATATTTGCTGGATGGTGAATGGAGGAAATCTTCAATCAACCAACAACTTTATTTCTGTCCTGTGTTTTATACCCTCTAAGACAAAGGTTTTCTATGTAAAAGAAAAATTTACCTCATTTAGAATAGATATAATCATTACACAAAAAAGGAGTTACAGTAGTTCTACTGATTCTAAGTTTTCATTAGAAGTATATCTAACTATATACTTTTGTTTATTATAAGTTTTATCTTTTTCTATTTGAAATGTATGTTATGTGTTCAAAGCAAGAGTTTTTTATGTCAAAGTTTTTTTCTAAAAAAGTTATCTGTCTTGTCTAAGTAACCATTTATTCTTTCTTTCTGTATTCATATTGTCTTTCTTATCGTGTTGCATTCCTGGGCCTTATGGGACTAAACCTAGAATGAATGATTTCCTTGATCATTAATTTGTTTCAATCTTGTTTTCTTTGTTAGTGTAATTCACATGGAGGTTTATAGCATTCCTAGCAGTTTTTGCTATACTGTAGGAAGGTTTAGAATTATTTGAATCAATCCACAAATCATTATCAGGAATTATAAAAATCACCTGCAGGAAATCTGCCCAACAGAGAATGGTCCCTATGGAGGAATAATATTATGCTATAGGCAGTGAGGGTCTATATGCTCAACTGAATTATGCCAGGCATATGAGACAAGCATAGGAATACAAGCAATACAGCAAAATAAGCAATCTTGAGGCAAAAGCCTTTGGGACTTTGCCTAAACCAGGGATATACCCATTCGTCAGCCATGCAAAAATGAGTGGGCTGCCTCCAGGAAGCTCACCTGTTTGCTTTTGCCAATCCAGCATGCAATTGCTCCCAGCAACAAATAGATCCATACTTATCTCCCTGTAAAAACTCAAGTCTAAGTGGATCAAAGACCTCAACATAAAACCAGATGAACTAAATCTGATAGAATAAAAAGTGGGAATTGTCTTGAACTCATTGGCACAGGAAATAGCTTCCTGAACAGAATACCAATAGCTCAGACACTAAGATCAATAATTAATAAATGGGCTCTCACAAAATTGGAAAACTTCTGCAAGGCAAAGGACATTGTCAAAATGACAAAATGGCAGCTTTCAGAATGGGAAGATCTTCACCAACCTTGACGGAAGGCTGATATCCAAAATAATAAAGAACTCAAAAAACTGATCATCAGCAAACCAAATGATCCAATTACAAAATGAGGTACAGAGCTAAACAAAGAATTCTCAACAGAGGAATCTTGAATGGCTGAGAAGTGCTTAAAGACATGTTCAACGAACGTCCTAAGTCATTTCCTTAGGGACTCTGAGATTTTCTCTTCACACTTGTCAGAATGGCTAAGATCATAACCACAAGTGACAGGTTAGGCTGTTGAGGGTGTGGAGCAAAGGGAAGATTCCTCCATTGCTGGTGGAGGTTCAAACTTGTAGACAGCCACTTTGGAAATCAACATGGCAGTTTTTCAGAAAATTAGGAATAAATCTACCTCAAGACCCAGCTATCCCACTCCTGAGCATATACTCAAAAGATGATCTATCATACCACAAAGACATTTGCTCAACTATGTTCATAGAAGCTTTATTCATAACTAGAAACAACCTAGATGTCCCTCAAACGAAGAATGGATAAAGAAAATGTACATTTACACAATGGAACACTACTCAGCTATTAAAAACAAAGACATCAGGAGGTAGGGTGGAACTGGAAGATGGGCGAGGGGGCTACAGCCAGGATAGAAAGTGAATAAATTGTAACAAATAATAGATTTTAAAAAATAAAAACAAAGACATCATGAAATTTGCAGGCAAATAGACTGAACTAGCAAGATCATCCTGAGTGTGCTAACCCAGACCTAGAAGGATGTCTTCACTTCTAAGTGGACATTAGCCATAAAGGATAGCCATGCTGCAATCCACAGACCCAAGGAAGTAACAAGGAGGGATCAAGGAGGGGATGTGATCTCACCGAGAAGGGAAAATAGAAAAGACCTTGTGGGTGTGTGAGGGAAGGGACTGGATGTGGTGGGGGTGGATGGACACAGGAGGGATCAGGTTGGGGAGGACAGAGGGAGAGAATACTGGGAGAGACAACTGGAATTGGAGGCGAAGTCATGTCTGGGATAAGCTAGAAACCTCAGGCAATGGGAACTGCCAGGAATGAGGGTGACCTAGCTAAGACTCATAGGAAGGGGGATATGAGCCTGAACTGGCCATCTCCTGTAACCAGGCAAGACTTCCAATGGAGGAAATGGGACACCAGCCCAGCCACAAAACCTTCAGGCCTACAATTTGGCTGCACACAAGATGTGCAGGGTAAAGATGGAGCAGGATCTGAGGGAATGGCCAACCAATGAGTGGTCTAGTTAGAGACCCATCCTGTCAGAGGGAGCCCACACTGTTAATGATGGTCTGCTGTACTTGCTTTACATACCGCTATATATGCAGACAGGAGCCTAGCAAAACTGTCATCAGAGAGGCTTCACCCAGCAACTGATAGAAACTGATGTAGAAACCCATAGTCAAATATTAGGCCGAAGTTGGGGAATCCTGCTGAAGAAGGGGAGGAAGGAGCCAGAGCGGTCACGGACATCTGAAGAAAATTCACAGAATCAACCAACCTGGACTAATAGGGGCCTAGAGAGACTGAATCGCCAAGCAGGGGCATGCACGGGGCTGACCCTCTGCACAGAGGTAACAGTATGCAGCTTGGTTTTCATTGTGGGACTCCTAACAGCAAGACTGAGGGGCTGTCAGCAGCTCTGGTGTCTACATTAGGGACCCTTCCCCGTTTTGGGCTGCCTTGTCTAGCCCCAAAAGGAAAAGGCGCACCTAGTCTTAATGCAACTTGTTACACTAGGGCTGTTTGATGCCCATGGGAGGTCTTCGCTTTTCTGAAGAGAAAGGGAGGAAGAGTGTGGGGGTAGGTGAGGGGGAAACACTAGGAGGAGAGGAGGGAGGGAAAACTGCAATCAGAATACAAGGTAAGCAAATTGAAAAAAAAGAATATAGCCCCTTTAATATGCCATTGTGCTTATAATAACACTTGATAAATTTTGGTCTATAATTTTTTTTTTTAAACTTAAGCACTCTGGGCTAAAATTCAGTACATTATTCTTTCTCCAACTGTAAGCAAGGTTAGAAAACATTCTATGTTAAGTTGGGTACCTTTATGTCCTTTATTTTCTGCTTTTCAAAATTGTCAATAGTTTCCTCCAAATGACGGCTTGTGCGGGTAGCATCAATTGTGGCTCTCTGTAATTCAGTCTCTGCCTAAAAAGTGAATCCCCCAACAAAAGAAAAAGCCCATCAGAATCCATGTAGTTGAATCTTTTGGTAAAAGTTAGCATTTCAATGCTGACCTTCTGGCCTGAAACCGTACACTGTTCAAACTTACCTTTTACCACATACACTGAACTATATTAGATAATATGCACAATATAGGACTTTTAAGTTTATTAAGTGAATTTCTCAAAACAGAAGTTCTTTCTTTAACACTATTTTCCCTGTTGCCCTGGGATTTGCTGTGCAACTATTTTCTGTTTTCTACTGCTTCCCTCTGTTTTAGTCTGTAGCATTTATTACAGTATCTGTTTTCTAATATCTGTCTCCTTAACCCTCGTCCTTCAAAGAAAACACGTGGAGTTTGTTAGTATCTTCAGTGCTCTCAACACTGTATTAACCTGTAAAATACAGATTATCTCACAAGATTACTTTATAGATTAAATGAAATAAGTAAATCTTTGTGAAGGACTAAGAGTATACACTATAAAGACCAACAATTATAGCCCCTTTCCACTACAGAAAATCTAATTTTTATTAGTATAACATGCAAGTGCTTAAGTCTATTGATATTCAAGTATCTTATCACTGTATACTTTTAAGAGTTCCCTAAATCACTAAATACACAATATCTAATTTTGAGACAGGGTCTCTCTCGGTCTAGCCTGTGCTATATTAGGATTCTCTAACTCGGGCTGATTGTAAACTCATGTTCTCCTGCCTCTGCTTCTTGACTGCTGTAATTACAGGTGCATGTCGTCCTATCTTTATGTCTATGTCTGATGTAGTTTTCCAAGTAACGGGATTACAGGCAAGTACCATCATGCTCAGCTTAATCAGCTTTTGATAAGCCAACAACGCTGCACTGTTTTGGTTAGTAACGAATACATTAAATGACAAGTTTAATGTTTGCTTTATACTTGGTGACATGCATAAGATGTAGATCTGTGTTGCAAGTCAATTCTCACGGACACGATCACGGACACTATCATGGACACTATCTAAATATTGCTATTTCCTTGTGGGCTGAACATAGATTTTTTTTTTTCTTTTTAAAACATCAAGAATTCAGGTACATGCAGGTACATACAGAAGCCACGGTATTGTTAAGTGTAGAAAATTCCAATTTAATCATGTTATTTCTCTTTACGCATCTTTTCCTTTAGGACAGTAGTTGCTTCTACACATTAAATATTTTCTTAAGCAGTACCAACAATTAAAAAAGACATACCTCAATTTTATGATTAAATTATTCCTGACAAAGTTTTGTTCTTTCTACTAAAATTATATTTTCTCTAAATTCATTTATCATTTAATATGAATCTTTCATCAAAATTTCGAGATGTACTATTCTGACATTTAGCTATTGCTTTCTCTTAAAAGAATCTATAAATTGAAACAAGTAAAAGGGTTTACTCTCAGGATCCATTTCTGGAAACACCATTTTATTGCCCACCTGCGACTGAAAATTTTCATAAAGGAAAAATACATTTCAAAGAGGATTGAACATTTTAAAATAAAATCATATACCTTTATAGAATTGCTCTTACAATTAGCATTTATAGCTCTTGTGACTTTTATCATGTCTTTGCCCGTCTTATTTCCTGGTATTTTAAAGATTTGGAGCCTCTGTAGGACTGTTTAAAACTAGGAAAGCATGGGGAAGCAGAAGCCAAAGCCAGGATCTTTGCATCCCAGCCTCCAGCAGCCCCCATCCATTTCTAAAGTCTGAAATCCTCTTCCCGAGCACAGAACTCACCCAGAAGTCAGCCTTTGAAAATATACGTGATAATACTGAAAATTGCTCAAAATCCTTCAGTGAACCAATCTCAAATAGGCAATATTAAGAACAATTAGCAGCGTATCCAGCAGAATCAGCCAAGACTTTCAAATGGTGATGAAAAGGGAAACCAGACTGATACTTTCAAACTGTGTTAGGGCTTGTTCAGAAGCTATTTGGGGCTTTGGGGGTGATAGCAGATCCTAGGATTATCCTCATCAAAAGACAAGACTCTGCTTGATTTACATATTGGACCTTAGCATACTTTTGAGTAGAGAGTTGAGTTCTAAGGGTCTATCTGGTAAAAACACTACAATACTCTTGACTGAGTGTTTTCTATTGAATAAATTAACATGTAAACTGTCACTCATGCTCTAGTTTCAAGCTGTCAGAATCCTTAAGTAGAACCCATCTAGTGAGCAGAAATTCGCCTGTAACAGTGACTTGTGTTTTCCCCACCTTGCTTGAGGTGGGCCAGAAAGTCTGCCTCCTACAGCAGTTAACAGCATTTATAGGTCAGGTAAGTGTGAGTTAGCAGTGCATTTACTTCTGGTTAACGATCAATACAAATACTTATGAATCAATCAACAACTACGCAGAATTCTAGATGTCAAATTTTGCCTGCCTCCATAGACTCTTTTCCCCCAAGAACAAAACATATTTTGATTACTGACTTAATTCTTAAACACTGGTGACTTCCTAGTCTTGACAGAGATTTCTTGTTGGCAGTCATGAATTTGTAGCTTTCTCTGATTTGTCCAGCTTGCTTAAAACACACTTTGGTTTAAAAATTTAAACTGCAATAAATGTCCCACAAATGTTCCGTGCCAGCCCAACTTAACTGCCTCTTTGTTTTTGTTTTTTTCTGTTTTTTCTTTTTTAAAATAAAAGGTTGGTCTATGTACCTTTGGTCCAAAGAAAGATGGACCAGGCAATTGATGAAGTCTGAAATCATTTAGGGGTCTCCCCTTCAGGAATGGAGGGGTTCTTCAACCTCCAATGCCCCCAAAGAGACACTCCTTATGTGGTGTCTGGCTGAGCTAGGCAGTATCAACCTTGAGTAGGCAGGAGACCCAGTGAGATAGAATGGGGATGGAATCAGGGAGATGTCAGTGCTTTTCACACATCTCTCAGCAGTGTATATACTTGTTGGTCATCAATGAGACAATTCTAGCTCAGGAAGGAACTGTTCTCTAGAAGATTCTTTGTACAACAAACATTACTATTTAGATACCATGTGTCCTGCTATGACCATAATCATACTGAAATCTCCTGAAGGTTTGACATTAGTATTTACTTGTTAATTTACCCTGAAAACATTTACACTTCTGAGTAGATTGGGGGATAGTCAATCATAAAAAACAAAAGGACTGGGTTAGGATGTATAACAGCATTATAGCTGGCTAGTTTCTTTTTTTTTTCTTTTTTCTTTTTTTTAGTATTAATTACAGTTGATTCACTTTGTATCCCAGATGTAGCTCCCTCCCTCATCCCCTCCCAACCCCACCTTCCCTCTCTCTTCTTTCCCTATGGCCCTTCCCATATCCACTGATAGGAGAGGTCCTCCTCCCCTTCCTTTTAACCCTAGTCTATCAGGTCTCATCAGACTGGCTGCATTGTCTTCCTCTGTGGCCTGGTAAGCCTGCTCCCCACCCCAAGGGGCCAGTGATCAAAGAGAGCTGGCTAGTTTCTATTGTGAGGATTCCTAAATATGTTTCTTTTTGCCACCACCATGAAAATTCTCTACACACTTAGAACTACAGATCCATATACATTTACTTTTGTACTGTATAACTCACAAAAAAAATTTTTTTTAAGACCTAATCCAAAGGATACAATTACATGTCGATCAGATGGGTTTCGTTGCCGTGTCCTTTCTAATTGAGATAACTGTTTGGCTTCTCGATTCCTTGCTGTTAATGTTGCTTTGAGATCATCCTGTAAATAAGCATTTTTGTTAATAAAACTTTCTAACATAAGAAATAAAACATTCTTAAGAATGGAAGAATACTTCTTGTTTGATCCCAGCACTGGGAGCTCAAAAGGTATGAGCACGGTAGTGTGTGTGCGCGTGTGTGTGCAGGAAAGCATGGACATTTCAATGATATTATCTCCAGATAAAACAATATGAATGGAAAATGAAACATACAAATACATGACTATGGTGCTTACAGGAGCATATGTATTTATAAAAAATAAACACCAAAAAGTAAGAATTTTTTATGTATAAATTTTACTCCAAGTTGATTTCAAAAACAGTTTCTCAGATTTTAAAAATACAGACACCAGCTTTAAAACAAAGGTGTAAAAACATATTCATCAAATATTATAAAATTTTCCACAATAATGATTTTGACTGCTAGAGCAGAATATTGGTATACTTAGCAAGCTTGGTAAAAATGCTTCATCATTTTTAAAGATCCAAGAAAATATTTTTCCAAAGTGTGTAAAAAGAATACTTGCATGGTATTTGTATTTGTTATGAAAAGGAAAACTCATTCCTTGTCAGTATACCAAGAGGATAAAAACAGGGATTTACTTACTCGTTTCATTTTTACTATGGTTCCATAAGCTTTCAAAGGTTCAACTACTTTGGCTTCAAGTCTTTCAACCTATTAAAAATTATATAAAACATAACTGAAAAGAAACATAGAAATATCAAAGTTTAAACACTGAAATCAAATCTATGCTACTTAATCTGAAATAAATATGGTACAGATTAATAGTTTTGAAAATTTTGGTTAAGATGATATTGTTTATGATATTTTAAGAGAAGGATAATCATCTAGGTGCTGCTAATATTCAGATTGTTAAGTCAGGCCTTGATGCGTAAACGGTGCAGCCACAGCAGCAGACAGCACCTGGAGCACAGCCTGATGGGAATGTGCCTGACACTTCTAACCGGCTCTCCCTTGAGAAGCACAGAATTTACCTCACAGTTACAGCTTTCAGAAAGTCTGAAGACATTTATAGTTTTAGTACAGATACCATTTTCATATGTTCAAGCACATACTGTCAGCTAAAACAGATATGGACTCCTAATTCTTATAGCTCAACTTTCCAGATACAATGAAAGATACGGTGTTACTGGGATGAAAAGCAAACAGTTTAGGGATTATTGTATTAGCTGCATTTTTTTTAAGCAGCCACTTATGATTTATCAAAGCCCAGAGAACAAGACAAATAGGCTTAGTGACGCTGATCTGCCAAACTGTACAACTGATCTCTTTTTATCTAGAATTAAACAGTTTCTCATGCTCATTTCAGTTTTCATTACAAAGTAATAGCAATTCTGTTAACAACACTAGTAAATAGAACTAAAGAAAAAATTTTATATAAAAAAAGGAAACGACGAGGCACTGAAACTTTGTCAGGGTGGGCAAGCAAATGATATCTATTGCTTAAAATAAACATATAAAATGTTTTTTTTAAATGATACATGTTTATCTAGTCAATGCATTCCATTTCATATTTATTCTTTTGTTTCTGGAAATGATGTTATATGGATGTTTCATTTTAAAAGATTTTAGGAAAATGCTAAAAACAAGTTCCCGTCAGTCATTTCAATGTTCAGAATTCTGAAATCAAGGCTGTGACGATTCAAGACAGATTAATATATACCGTGTCTATCAACACACACTGTGACTGTTATCCAGGTCTAGCCTATCAGAGTCCCTTCGCTTTCCCTTGCCTACCTTTGTCATGTTCATTAGCATCTCCACCATGTGGCAAGCAGGGAAACAGAGCAGAGCAAATGCAAATCAATTCACTTTGCTATGTGAAAACTAGCATAAAAATTTTCTAGAAAGGGGAAATTATTGGTGAAATAGGACTTCAGGATTATCTGTGAATTAAAAGCTACGTTTGGAACATAAAATCTCCAGTTACCATGTATAACTGAGTAGTGCTTGCTATAGAAGAAATGTATGCCAAGAGCTCGGTACTTTCCTTACGGGCATCTCTGAGTGGTTAGTACTCAAATGTATGCAGAATGATGATAAGGTCAAAGATTATTTCTCCTATTTTAATTTTTGGTAACTGAAATTTGTTTTAGGCTTTAAAGATGAAAAAGAGCAGTGGTACTTGTTACAAAAGTAAAAAAGCGATGGAGTGTAAACTTGGCAACTTTTGTAAGTTAACTGGTATCTAAAAAAGTATATCAAAGTGCTTATGCAGTATCCAAAGTAATAAAAATATTGGTGTTTAGAAAGCTCTCAGGAGAGCAAGACTCTTGAGCACTCAAAGCCAATCTCTCATACTTATTACCTGGCTTGTTCCTGTGTTATAAAATGTACTTTGTTCAACTTTCAAGCCAGGCAAGTATCAGCAATACGCTGCCCATTCGTTAGTAATTTGTTCATTTTGCCATTCTCAGCATTGCCATCTCTAGCCATTCTTTAAAAACCACTTGGTGCACACAGAATAAACAGGCGCCTTCCTTTCCCATGGGTGCCACCTTTTCTGAACACCGGCACCCTGTTACCAAAGTTGGCAAATGCTGCGGTAAACTCAAGACTTAAAACACACCTCAAGTTTAGTTTGAAAGTGTCAGGTCATAGAAAGGTTTCCTACAATGGACTTACCGTGTTACGGACATTTATCAAGTGTGCGTTCGCCACCGTTGGGTAGGCGACAATGAAACGTCGCCCTAATTCCTACACATTACTTCTTGGCTTAGAATGACGACACCAGAACCCAATTTCATACCTCTGCTTGGCGGTAATCCTGAAGTTTGGCGAACTCATCTGCAAAGTTTTTCAGACCCTGCTTTAGATTTGGGGTCTCGGTAGAGGCATATACGTTGATCTCGTTCACCAGGAGGTCAGCTTTGTCTCGCAGCCTGGCAGTTTTCCGTACATAAGCAGCAAAGATTTGGCAGAGCTCTCCGAAATGCTTCTCCACGTTTGTGACCGCATCCTGCAGCTGTTTTGTCTGAGCGTCTCTAGAAAGAAAAAAAAGGAGACACAGAACACTGTTCTTAAAACAGTAAGATAGTGTCCGGCTAATTATATATGCAGACCTTAACGGGGCAGCCTGGAGCTCTGAAGGGAAATATTCCCAACTCCCCCGGAGGCCCGCCTCCTCCGGGACCCTAAACAGGGTCTGGTCCTGCCCTTGGACAGCGCAGGCCCGGGAAAGGTCCCGCCGGGAAGGGGAGGCAGCTGCCTCTGTGCGGCCTCCCCGGGCTCGGCACCGCGGCGGGGCCCGGCCAAGCTCAGCGGGGTGGGCCGGCCCGGGACGCTCTCTCGGGCCTGCACTAGCTGCAGAGCTGCGGGGACCTTGCGGCCTTGTCCCTCCCCGGCCGGCGGCGCGGCCCTCGGCCCGGCATCCCTCGCCCGCCCGCCCGGCCCTCTCCCTCGGGCGGCCTGCACGACGAGGCCCCTGGCGGTTACCGGTCTTCCAGGTTGCGCCTCAACATCTTGCCTTGCGTGCCGCCGGGGACCCGGAGTGGGAGCCCAACGAGCGTGGCTCCGGGGCGCCAGGGCGCGCGGGAGCGGGAGCCGCCGCCACTTCTACCGGGAGGTGAGAGCGCGCCGCGCGCGCCGCCGCGCCCGCCCGGCGTTTCCGTGGCAACGCGGCGCGCGCCCCTGCGGTCAAGAGCGGGGCAAGGGGGACCGGAGGGCATAGGGCGGAGGGACCAGCAAGCATCCTCCTTCCGTGCAGCTCTGGAGCCCTCCCAGGCCGCTGCAGGCAAAGGAGGAAAGGCAACCCACCAGCAACCGGAAGGGGGGACGTGAGAGTAAAGGTGAACCGAGTCGCGGCTCTGCTTCTGGATGCGTGGATTTAATGCCGTGCCTGTCGCCGAGCCTCTCTGCGGGGCGTGACAGTGTGCGCGCTCCTGGAAGCTGCCTTTGGAAAAGAGCCGCTGTGTTGGTTAGATTTCTGTTGCCGTGACAAGACCCTGACAGAATCAAGTCCGTGAGGTTTCTTTAGTTGGCGCATCCCAAGTCACTGTTCCTGAGGCTCTCAGGGCAGGAACGTGGAGGCCGGAGCTGAAGCAGAGGCCGCAGAGCGGCACTGCTTGCCAGCCTGTTCATTCGGCTTTCTTAGACACCCAGGACCTCTTGCGCAGGGGTGGCGCTGTCGACGGTGAGTTGGGCCCCTCCACATCGATCATCAATCAAGACAACTGCTGCAGGACAAGTTTGTCTATAGGCTAGTGTGAGGGGGCATTTTCTGGATCCAAGTTGCACCTTCTCAGATTTGGTCAATTTGGCTCAAATTGACCCCCCCCCCCCAAAAAAAAAGAAACTAAAAAATAATACAACAACAACAACAACAACAACAACAACAACAACAAAAAACAAATCCAGGCAACACAGTATTGCTTACTGCCTCTTCTTTCTTTCTTTCTTTCTTTCTTTCTTTCTTTCTTTCTTTCTTTCTTTCTTTCTTTCTCTCTCTCTCTTTCTTTCTTTTTCTGCAGTTAATTGAGTTTCTACTTTGTGAAAAAGATTATGTTAGACCCAAGGAATAAATCAAAAGTAGAGGCCTGAATGAAGGTGCCCAGTTTGAAGGGACACAGATAACCCAGAGCTTCTCCTTTAACCACTGAACACCCATGGCTTAGAAAATGTGTGTAAGAGTGAGGGATGGGGGGGCAGTGACAAGGGCAAGAGGAGGGCAGTAGGAGAGAAGGGGAGAGAGAGGGAGAGAGAGAGGGAGAGGGAAAGAGAGGATACAGAGAAACTTCTCTTTCATGTGAAGTTGGGGTCCACGTTCAAGCTTTATCTGTTTCCCTGGGCTAATCCAGGACTTGGCTCAGACAAACAACCTCTAGCACACTCCTGGTTTTGTACTGGCTCCTTGACGCAGAGGAAATGCGATTTTGGTCTTGTGTTCATTAGTGCAGTCCTGTGCAGCTTCTGCTTTAGAGCCCCCCCCACCCCCCGCTCTCTGATGGTGTAAACTCTGTTTTAGGACCCCCACTCTCTCATGGTGTAAATGCCTCCTTCCTCCCTTGTAATACAGCAGGCCAACTGAATACCCACAGTCTCTGACAATAGAGTCCTAACGTAAGGTCAGAAGGTCAGAACAGTCTTTGCTGTTTCAGAGCCCACAGCCTTGGGGGAGGGATGAAGCTAGCCAAACAATCAAGCACATATAAAATACAACCAAGAAATGTGCGTCTGTGTCAGCTTTTGTTGCATAGCAAACTCTAAAACCTAGTGGTTTACAAAAATGCATCAGACAGTTCAGGATTCTGTGAATGGGATGGATGGTTCTTTGGTTCTGTTCACCTGGACTCTTTCCTGCCTTTCTCTCCAGGTGAATCTGCTAGGAGATGTGTAATATCATTAAATGTTATGGTTTGGATATGGTTTGAGTGTGTCCTCCAACAGTTCATGACTAAGAGGCTTGGTTTGCTCCTTAAAGTACGATGAAATGTGTAGTAGACATCTGAAACAAGGAAACATGGAGCCATGGGGACTACCATCCTTGGAAGAAATTAAGGTGGTATTTTTTTTAATCCATTATTAATCAATTCTCTGGAGAGGGTGGTTAACTGGAGTCTGGCCCCACTTGAATGTGCTCTTTTTCACCCATACGGGGTGCTGCCATTATGACCAAATCTGCTATATGAAGTCTTATCAGAGCAGAGCCACTAGCACCAGCCCTTGGATATCCAATATTGTGAACCAAATAAAACTTTATTTGTAAGTTTGCCAGCCTCAAGTATCTATTCAATATAGATTGCTAGAGCAATAAGACAACTAAAAGAAATCAAGGGGATAGAAATTGGAATGAAAGAAGCCAAAGTATCATTATTTGCAGCTGATTTGATAGTATACATAAGTGACCCCACAAATTCTACCAGAGAATTCCTACAGCTGGTAAATACTTTCAGCAAAGTGGCTACATACCATGTAACTTAAAAAAAAAAATCAGTAGCCCTTCTGTATAAAAACAATAAATGAGCTGAGAAAGAAATTAGGGAAACAACACCCTTCACAATATCGACAAATAATATAAAACATCTAGGTGTAACTAACCAAGCAAATGAAAGACCTGTGTGATAAGAAATTCAAGAAGATATCAGGCTCCCATTCTCATGGATCAGTAGGATTAACATAGTAAATATGAATATCTTACCAAAAGTAATCTACAAATTCAATGCAATTCCCATCAAAATATCAACAAAACTCTTTATAGACCTTGAAAAAAAATCTCAACTTCATATGGAAAAACAAAAAACCCAGAATAGCTACAACAATCCTGTACAATAAAAGATCTTCAGAAGGTATCTCCACCCCTGATCTCAAGCTGTACTATAGAGTAACAGTAATAAAAATTTCATGGTACTGGCATGGAAATAGACTGGTGGATCAATGGAATCACATAGAAGACCCAGAAATAACCCACACACCTATGGACACTTGATTTTTGACAAAGGAACCAAAACTATACGATGGAAAAAAGATAGCATCTTTAACAAATGGTGCTGGCCTAACTGGATGTCTACATGTAGAAAAACGCAAATAGAACCATATTATCACCCTGCACTAAATTCCAAGTGGATCGAAGACCTCAACATAAAACCATACACACTAAATTGGTTAGAAGAAAAAGTGGGGAAGAGCCTTGAACTCATTGTCACAGGAGACAACTTCCTGAACAGAACACCAACAGCTCAGGCTCTAAGATTAACAATCAATAAATGGGACCTCATGAAACTGAAAAGCTTCTGTAAAGCAAAGGACACTGTCATCAGAACAAAACGACTGTCTGCAGACTGGGAAAAGTTCTTCACCAACCCTAAATCTGACAGAGGGCTAATATTCAGAATATATAAAGAACTCAAGAAATTAAACACTAACAAACCAAATAATCCAATTAAAAATGGGGTGCAGAGCTAAATAGAGAATTCTCAACAGAGGAATATCAGAATGGCCAAGAAACACTCAAAGAAATGCTCTTTTCTATAGTCATCAGGGAAATGCAAATCAAAACTATGTTGAGATTCTATCTTATACCCATCAGAATGACTAAGATCAAAAAACAAGTGACAGCACATGCTGTCGAGGTTGTGGAGAAAAGGGAACCCTCCTCCATTGCTAGTGGGAGTGCAAACTTGTGCAACCACTTTGGAAATCAATATGGCCCTTTCTCAGAAAATTGGGAACAACTCTACTTCTTCAGGGAATATACCCAAAAGATGTTCAACCATACAACAAGGACATTTGCTCAACCACATTCATAGTAGATTTATTTGTAACAGCCAGAAGCTGGAAACAACCCAGATGCCCCTCAACTGAAGAACAGATAAAGAAACTGTGATACATTTACACAATGGAATAGTATTTAGCTATTAAAAACAAGGACATCATGAAATTTGCAGGCAAATGGATGGATCTGGAGAAGATCACCCTGAGTGAGGTAACACAGACTCAGAAAGACACACATGGTATATACTCACTTGTAAGTGGATAGTAGCTATGCCGTGCAGGATAGCCATATTACAATCCACAGATTTAAAGAAGCTAAGTAACAAGGATGCTTAATTCTCATTCAGAAGGGCAAATAGAATAGGCACCAGAAGTGGATGAAGAGAGGGGAAAGGACTGGAGCCTTTCATAGATATCCTCTGAAAAACTCCACCCAGCAGGAGATTGAAGCAGATGCTGAGATTCATAGCTAAACTTTGGGCAGAGTGTAGGGAGTCTTATGAAAGAGTGGGGGATAGAAAGACACAGAGAGGACAGGAGTTCCACAGGAAGATCAACAAGGCAATAAATCTGTGTTTAGATGGGCCTGTGGAGACAGATGTGCCAACCAAGGACTATGCATGGAGAGAACCCAGGCCCGCTGCTCAGATGTAGCTGATAGGCAGCTCAGTCTCCATGTAGGTCACCTAGCAAGGGAACCAGGGACTGGCTCTGACATGACCTCTGTTGCCTGTCTTTGATCACTTCCCCCTGGGTGAAGCGGCCTTGCCATGCCAGAGAGGAAGAGGATGCAGGCAGTCTTGAAGAGACTCAACAGTCTGGGGTTGGTTGGTAAGGGAGGAGGACTCCCCATTTCTGAGGACTGGAGGACAGGGATGGAGGGGGGAAGAGGGAGAGAGGGTGTGACCAGGAGGAGATGAGGGAGGGGGCTATGATTGGGATGTAAAATGAATAAATTAATTAAAAGAGAAAATGTCAATATTTATTTATTTATTGACTATGTTTATGTGAATGCATGTGATGTATGCTCTTGAGATGTTCACAGGAAGGCCAGAGAGGGCATGAGATTCCCTCCCATGGGAACTGGAGGGAACTGGAGTTGCAGGCTATTGTGAATCACCCTGTAGATTCTGGGAATGAAACCAAATCCTCGCAAGAGCAATAAGCACTCACAACTTCTGAACCATTGCTGCAGCCCACCAGCCTCATGTATTCTATAACAGTAATACAAAGTAGACAAATACAGATGGCCTAACTAACATGCCATGCTGTCGGGAGCCTGTCAGTTGGGGCAACGTTTTTTATTTTCCAGCGGGTCAGGCAAGATTCTTCGTAGAGCTTCTTTCTAAAGTAGCCAGCAGGACATGGTAACTCCCACTGTGCAATGTCTTCAACGTGTCTGTCTTTGCCATGTATGCCTCTGCACTATTGCTTGATGTAAGTTACATGGTCCACGCCAGAGTGGCACGCTAATTATCAGGGACCTGGGTAGTGGCTGCTTCTGGTTGCTAGCCCATGTACCAACTGAGCACGTGCTTACAACAGAGTTTTGTTATGACCTACTT